CCATCCTCGTCAAATGTGTGGCATGAGGTCGTCACCAGTGCCAAGCTTACAAGAACACTGGGGACATCTGTGCTATTCCAAAAGAGAGGGGATCCTAAACCTTGTTACGTTGTTAAGTTTGGGGCGCCCAAGCTAAGAAACACCACCTCTGCCACCCAAGAAAAAGAACCCTTATCGAAATCGAAATCCACAACAGACATGCCCTGTTTCCAACATTCGTGTGTGACAGTCGCATCTGCCCACAGGCAGTGCGCACTGTACCATCACAGTTCGTTCGTGCTGCTGTGAGTGTTGACTTTAGTGCTTGCTGTCCTGGCAGATGCACCACGTCCTGCACAAAGTCAGTCAGTCAGTCAGCCAGGTGTGCAAGAAATTCTGAAGGAATTCAACTGCCTTCATCATGAGGTTGCTGACCATTCCCAGAGTTCGTCACATTTGTTGCTTTCTGTCATGCAGGCTGTGTACATCCCGTCAGGAAGGCAAGGCTGAGATCTTGAACCAGCCACCCAACGTCACACTTTTTTCGAAATCTGATGTTTCTGTGGCTGCCTGTTTCCAAAGCGTGGCGTTGGGCTGCAGAAAAACAAGAGCCACTGTTGCAGGGAGTCAGGTGCCCCCAAGTAAACGTCTGCCACAGTGTCCACTGTGAGGCATTAGATTCTCAGAGGAAGCAGTCAGCCCACGACCACTCTTTATTGCAACCCCGAAATTTCTTGTTCCGTTTTGCTCCCTCCGCAGCGCGAACTCGTCAGTGCTGCTATCGGCAATGCAGGCCAAGCGTGCCACCTACTGTGGCCAAGCCCCACAGCGAAATTCATGGCACCTCCTAACTCTCATTGCAAGGGCTCATCAGAGGAAAGCCGCCACTGAAGAAAACTCAAGAGAACAATGCTCGCAACTGGCAGTTACATTGTCCACCTCCCGCAGTGTGTGTGTACCCATGGGTGGTTCGTTCCAGCGCACAAAAGCACGTGCCCATACAAATCTCTAGTCCCTCTATCTTCTAGACACAGCGCAGACTGATGCATTCACACGTTTGTTGATTGCGGCATTGATACACAAACAACAACCACCCACACTCAATCCTGGCACCCGGCAAGGCTTCTGTCCATGCATTTTCGACAGTACAGGGACTGGTACCCACAGCAACCTTCCCCGCCTACGACTGGACGATGTTCCGCCACAGGGCTCTTGGCAGTGTCGAACCTCGACCGGTGCTGACTTGCGCGCCATTTCCGCTGGGTGCCGCGAGACAGCTAGCGGACCCATCATAGCCTGCAGCTCCTCTTCAGTGTGGACAGAATCCGAGGGAAAACCCTTGCCCAGGAGGGGCTTGATTGTCCTTTAGCACGACGCTCTCTCTTTCTGCATCTCTGTTCTATTCGTCATTCTTTTTCCTTTTTCTATTTGTTTCCTGTCTTTTTGTCGAGAAACATTCGTCATTTACCTTTGGCGCTCGCCGAGCTGCTCGCCCTGGCGGACGCGCGTACCCCCGAAGACGACGACGCGGAAGCCGACGCGGATGCGCCCCCTTTCCCGTGGCTGTACGAGTAAGACTCCGCGGAGCTGCCGTCCTTGTTGACCCGCACTCGGCCCCCCTGCGCGCCGTCCTCGCTAACGAAGTTCTTCTCGTAGTATTCTGCGACGTTGCAAAGCAAGCGGTTTGGCCAAATCGGCAAAAGCAGCCAACCGGCGTGCACCAATGCCCGATTGGAAAGGCCATCGTCGGAAATGAACAGCGAGTTTGACAGATGCGTCGCCAGAGGCACTGTGCCCCGCAATTTGGGCAGCATCGCCGCGCAAGGGCAGGCCGCGCCTGCGACCTCGCTCGCGATCCGCGCCGTGCGGCAGCACAGCTTGCGCACCCGCGGGCCGCGTCAAGATGGGCGCTGGCACGAAGCCCACACAAACCCAACAAGTTCACGACGGGTTGTGCTCTACGGATCCGCGCAGCCGTTGGCGGCGCGTCTGCGAGGGGAAAGAGTCTGTTGCCCGAGCGGAACGGCTTCCATGCGCCGCGCTTCGTCGTCGTCAACAGCGGCCTCGGCAGCGTGACACACCTTGGGACGCTCGCGCCATCCCAGCCAGCAGCACCACCAGAGTCAGCGCTAAAGCGAGCGCCTGGGACTGTCGCATGACCGTCGACCGCGGCCTGCAGTCCGAGACGTCGGCTTGTCGGCCTTCTCTTGTCGGTTGGCTGGCTGCCCGAGTGGGACACCTTTTGCAGCCGGGTGAGTTGGGTGAGGAAATAAGTCGATGACTGTATATCCGTCAATGACTACCACACTGTCTTACTCTGGATGGAAGAGGATGTGTGACCTGTGGTTGAACCGGTTGCCGTACCTCTGGTGGGATGTCGCACTGCTTTACCAAACAAACTGGTACAGGGGCAGGAAGAGGTAGTCCGACCCAAAAAGAACCCTTCCACCCGACACACACTCAGTGCACACTCAGAACACGCTCTTTTTTTGCTCCGCTGCGTTCCTCTGCTGTTTTGGGACTGGAGATTTTTTGTTGTGGAGCTGTGGTTGCCCCCGCGTATTTTCGGCTCTCGGCACAACGGCTGGTCCATCATGCAGGCCGCTTGCTTGGCCGCCGTTGCGCTGCTGTCTGCGGCGCTCGCAGTCCGTCGCCTGATGAAGCTGGAGGGTCGAACCCGGCAGCTGGAGGTGGGGTACAGCGGGGTTCAGGGCCGGGACACAGCTTGCCACGACAAATTGTATTGGCTGCCTTCATGTGCTTTTAGCCAGAGTCCTCTTACGCTGCGCTGCTTCGTGTCACCCTCACCACATGGAAAGGAGTTTGATTGGGCATTGTTGGGTCTTTGATTCCCCCTTGCTGAGGACTTGCGCAATCTGGACTGCATTCCCGGTGATACCCGCTACCCAGTGACGGACTGTGACTGTCGTTCCAGCGGGAACTCCAGGACATGACGAAGGAGCGACGGGCGGAGCGCGCTGGAAGAATCAAAGCGGAGGTGGACTGGGAGCTTCCCAGCTGCAGTAGAATTGCTTCTGCCCAATTTGGTCAGCACTGGACTTGACACATACTGTCAACGCCCTTTTGCCAAAGCCTCTCATACCGTAATGCGTTGCGTTTCTGGTCCCGCTTTGGAAATTATTTGTGCGGTTGGCTGGTCCCTTTTGTATGATGCATCCACAGAGTGCTCATCAGCGCTGATCACTGCTGAAAGAGGCCAACAATCCATGCCCTTAAGCCCAAATGGCGCTTGTAACAACCACTACGATCATCGAGAGGGTTGTGCCCCTGCTTAGATAATTGTGCAATCTGTGTCGCCATCCAACTGCCTTCAGTTGCCTCTCAACTATTCCGCTGGTAAAGCGTTCACCAGGTAGACGAAGTATGTCTTGCAGGCCATTGGCTTCAAAATTGAAAGTTGGTACACATCCGTTCTGGTGCCTGATACACATGGAAGGCATCATCTTCCTGTGGAGCATTGTCTGGGACAACTTTGCCTCTGTTCACATGGGATTTTGAATCTTTGACAGAATCGTAATTGTTTGTATCTCAGAGAGAATTGCAGCAGCTGCACATGGGTGCAGTTCATGCTCTTCATGGAGAGCAGCCTTTTGATTCAAAGGAGCCTTCTGGCTTAAGAATTCCCCACCTGGAGCCAATTGGCACGGTCTCCTCTTGCTTCACACAGAGGTGGGGCCCACTGCTGTGGCACTTCCTCTATTTTCGTATTTCGCTTTCAGAGAGTGACAAAACATCCCCCTTGCACCTTCAAGATTATGCTGAACACAACTCCATCAACACTGTCTGCTGTTTTCCGCCCTCCCAGAAGTTCTCTGCTGCTTGCGCATCTGCTCATCTGGAAACGAAAAGAAGGCAAACTTATGAACTGAAATCACCCATGACAGATGGACAACGAGTGAATTGCCATTACGAGCAGTTGCAAGTGGATGGATGCCCACAGTCAAGCTCTTTTGCAGCAACCCCTTGGTGGTTATATTCCATGGTTTTTGTTGGCTGCAAGCAGGAATGGCACACCGCGCCAACCCCTTCTGGTGGGCAGTGCCCGGGCGAAGCTTACACTACGTCAGGGCCTCCCTCACGATGCCCTCGATGGCCTTCAACAGTACAGCCATTGTTGGATCCTGTACATATTCCATCGAAACACCAATCTGCACCGGGAACACATTTCAGAGCATGCCTCGGAGTCCAAGAAACGGAATCCACACACTCAGGGCATTAAGGCTAAAATCAGAGTACCAAGGTTGGATGGAAAGACCATGGGAGTATTGGCAACCCGGAGCCCGCATCGTCCTGTGCCCATTGGGCTGAGCTGTGCCCGGGTGAAGGAAGTGCGTAATGGGGAGGTCCTTCTTGAAGGGGCTGATATTGTTGATGGCACTCCCGTGCTTGATGTGAAGCCCTATGTCCCATTCTGTGACTCCGTGGAAAGTGCTACTGCACCAGCATGGGTGGCAGCCACATCAGGCAGTGGAGATGAGCCTTTGTATGTGAAGAGCGTCCAGATACTGGAAGTGGCTCAGCAGCAAATTCAGGATTGCTGGCATCGACAGCAGCGGACGTCGCTGTACGCAACCAGCATGGAGTTTTTGGGACTCGTGAAGGAGGTGCTGTCAAGAGATATACGTTCAACGTACCAACGAACTCAGGCTTGCAAGAGTTGTGGCATACAAGGCAGCGATTACGGAGAGGCTGGTGAGCTGTTTCATGTAATTCTGGAAGGAGTGGATATTGCTTACGATGTGGTGGACCATGGTGTGGTAGTGTGCAAGGCAGAGATAGCAGTGGACAGCAGCCCATGAATGCACTCATTTGGAATACCTGTGTCATCAACCTGGCGACTCCTGTCTCGGGACACTGTATTAACTATTGAAAGAGAATGCAGAGGTAGCGATGTTTTCATGAATCAGGCAAGGGTGTTTGCTTGTATGCTGCTGCTTCATCACCTCTCTGTTGGGTGTGAGGCCTGGAAACACGTGCCAGGGAAGAGGCAGTTTCCATTTCAGAAGTGGTGTCGATTCCAGTGCCAGCTCATATGTGAGAGTTGTGAGAAGTGAAGATCGACATGGTAAATGAGGTGACAAGGCTGAGGCCAAGCGTTGGGTCTTCACGCATTGTGTGAATAAGCCGCTCAGAACGGCCATCAAGGCTGTTCTTGAGACTGAAAGCTGGATGTCTGAATTGTTTTTCCAACACATATTTTACTTAGTGGAACTCATTGTCTGGATTATAACTCGGTCTCAAACGGGAGAAGAAAATTGACGAGCAAAGATCGGATTTTCTGCAGTGAAATTCATCCACGCATTCACGGTCGTTCGAGATTGTCCCAACCTTTCCCAACCTTGGAAATGAAGGTCACGATGGGCACCAGGCCCTTAAAAAGACCTGGCAAAACCCAGCAACTTGAATCCCGAAACCCGAAAATGATGTTCAAGAACTTCAGGTCCGGAAACGAAGGGTTTCAGACGTTTGGGAGTCGTGGAGGCAATTTCGTTTTGGGCGCGTGCGGTATTGCGCAAAGTACTGCTGAAGGAACATGCTCCTTGCACCAGCTCTCGCCTCCGCCGGCCCGTCAAATGCCTGTGTCCACACCCGCGTTCCCACTGCAGCCCAAGGATGCTGCTGCGCTTCCAGAGCCCCCTTCGAGCCGAGGGGCCGCCAGCCGGTCACAGACCTTCGGTGCAAGCTGCAAACAGGCTCGGACAGCGGCGCGGGGCCCCTAGATATCTGCGACAAGTGCTGTGCCACAGGGTGAACCCGCCAGCGGCATCTGCATCGGTCAGCCAGGGAGCGACCGTCAAGGATGGGATGGTGAAGGCTGGAGCAGGGAGAGGATTTTACACCGGTGCGGGCTGGCGGCTGATCTGCTGGGGCTCTGACTTGGACAGTCCTGTCTGTGCCTGCGCCCTCGTTAAGCCACTGACGCCAGGCCAGCGCTTGATTGATTCGCGGCAGATAATGGCCCCAGAGGGGGGTGGGGGTGGGGGGGGGGTGGGGTGGGGGTAAGGGGGTGGGGGTGGGGGTGGGGGTGGGGGTGGGGGTGGGGGTTTGGGAGTCTGCGCCGGGCAGGCGTGATGACAGGACCAGGACGTGTGGAATTTCGATCAGCGGTGAAATAGGCCTTTGCGTCCTGGAGTTGATGGCCCATCGTCTGCCAGGCGCGCTGCTGCTGCTGCTGCTGCTGCTGCTGAACTCCCACTGTTAAGAAAGGAGTTTGTCAATTTGTGAGCATCAGCATCCTGGCCTGCTGTGGAAGAAACTTTCCACCAGCAAGGGAGCGCTTAGCTATATCCAACTGCAAGGAAATTGCACACAACCATTTGTGTACGGTTTTGGTGTTGATCGAGGCTGCGTGCTTGTGGGATGCTGTGCAGGCGACGATGGCTACCTGTACTGTGACAGCTTGCGGGTCGATGACATCCGCGCCCAAGTCAAGACGAGCCCATTCTACCTGTACAGTAAGGACACCATCGCTTCCAACTTCGCAGCATATGAGAGTGCTCTGACAGGCGTCGAGTCCATTATTGGCTATGCTGTCAAAGCCAACAATAACATGTTCATCCTCCGCCAGCTCCAGGCCAAGGGCTGCGGTGCCGTCCTGGTTTCTGGAAACGAGCTCAAACTTGCCCTACTTGTGGGCTTTGAGCCTGAGAAAATCATTTTCAACGGAAATGGCAAGCTTCCGGAGGAGTTGGCATATGCAGTGAGAGCAGGGGTGCTCATAAACGTGGACTCCGAGTTCGACTACGAAAACATTCGGGAGGCGGCTGCAGAGGTGGGGCAGGTTGCCAAGGTGCTGCTGAGGATAAACCCCGATGTGGATCCCCAGGTGCACCCCTATGTCTCCACTGGCCTTGCCAACTCCAAGTTTGGCATTCGCAACAGCCACCTGCAGTGGTTCCTTGATCGCATCAAGACTGAATCCATGGTGGAGCTTGTGGGGCTGCACAGCCACCTGGGGTCCACAATCACGAAGGTTGACATCTTTAGGGATGCAGCCAACATAATGTGCGACTTTGTTGAGCGTGTCAGAGCCGAGGGATTCGAACTCAAGTACCTGAACATCGGCGGCGGGCTGGGGATTGACTACAACCACAGAGGCGAGGTGCTGCCTACCCCCAAGGACTTGATAGACACTGTGCGCGATCTGGTGGCGCGGCTTGGCCTTGTGCTCGTGATCGAGCCAGGCAGGTCGATGGTCGCCACGTCCTGCGCGTTGGTGAACACGGTGACAGGCGTCAAGTCCAACGGGAACAAGAACTTCATCGTCATTGATGGCTCGATGTCTACGCTCATCAGGCCCAGCCTGTATGATGCCTACCAGCACATACAGCTCACGGCACCCTGCACAGGCAAGGTTGAAAATTTCGACGTCGTGGGCCCTGTGTGCGAGTCCGCCGACTTCCTTGGCAAAGACCGCGACCTGTGCACGCCCGACAAGGGGGCGGGCCTGGTGGTGCTGGACGCGGGCGCCTACTGCATGACCATGGCGTCCTCATACAACCTCAAGATGCCACCAGCAGAGTACTGGGTGGATGGTGACGAGGTCAAGCTCATACGCAAGGCTCAGACCCTGGACGATGTGCTCGCACAATTCGAGGGCTTGTGAAGCAGCGACGCTGGGTGGGCGGGGTGACGGTTGCAGGTTTGGGATGGGTGGTGACATGGATTCCTGCAACGGTGCTTGCACCGTTGTTCGAGGGAGAGGCGACCTCTCCCATGGAGGGGCAAATTGACGAAGCTGCTGTGTCATTGGGATTGTTGCTACGAGCAGGTGCAGAAATACGCAGGTGAGGGTATAGAAAGTGCTGAAATGAAGAGAAGGCAAATGTGCTTGCTGTAGGAGACGACCCAGATGTTTACTGACCAGACACATGTGATATATGTGTAAGCACTGCCTGTGCCAATCTCAGCGGGTAGCTTTTCTTCATGTTTGCAGCGCAGCAGTCTGTGCGGCGGTCAGCACCAGGGAATGGCCCATTCTCGCAGCATGCTTGCTATTTCATTGCCCTGGCTTTGACACAGACGTGGGAGCAACGAACGAACGTTGTGATGTTGGCAGCGATCTTAGGCAGATTCATCGCCCCACATATATTGTGCTACTGGTTCGATGAGAAGCAGTGGTAGCTCTTCTGCATCCACACTGGCCACCAACAATTCGTGCTGCCACCATGTGTGTGCTGGTTGCTTCATTCACATTTGGCAGATTGCTGCTCCTGGAGCACTGCAATGTAGAAAAGGGGCCCACAGTAGTCTTTCAGGAGGAATGTTCCATACAAATTGATATTTTGGCTGTGGTGAGTGTGAGTACCATCTGCATTGGGTGTGAATCTTGCTGTGGACACAACACGATGCAGACTGTTCCAACAGATAGCAGCTGTCTCCTTGTCTGCCGATTTTCCATGGCACATCTGTTTCAATGCAACCATTGATGAAAATGGTCTCATGTGACTGGCCAGCGAGGCTGGGTTGTTGGGTGGCGAGGGCACCAACCTCTGCAATGAACACTACCTCATGAGCAGTATTGAGCACATGGCAGACCTTTGGTAGAGCACTACTGGTTGACTGGGCGGTTCTCAGCTGATGTGCAGTAAGGAAACCAGAACTGAAGCAACGTTGACAACGAAGGTGAACCCCGCAGAAGTTGAAGATATCTGTTACACACCTCACAGTACCCATACAGTCGAAAGTTTCATATCTCATTCCAGTTTCTGACATGTTATTCGCAGTTGGAGAGCTGCCCCAGGAACCATGGGCTGGTCTGGCTCCCTTCCTCGCAAGCGGCTGGCCTGCTGGTGACCTCACACTGGGGCGATCCCGGCCTAGAAATGCATACAATGCTTCACCGTTGATGGGGCAACATCGACTCCTCTGCACCAACGCGAAGCAAAATGCGTTCTGCCAGCCAAACGTGCCCTGCATCAAGACAGCACGTTGTGCAGCGGGCTCGGTTCTAGTAACAATGGCTCTTGAGATGCCAGAAAGCCTCTGATGCACTGCCAGTAGCGCCGAGGGCTCACTCATGCCATCCATTGGATCGGTTCTGCACTCTGTGATTTGTGCAACCCTATGCCTATACAGATGCCCTGGTCAAAGTTCAGGCCTGGTGGCTTACCTGTGGTGAACATGAGCGCCCTCGCAGCAATTGAGCCTCCTTCTATGCGGCGCTTGATTTCTGTTTCTTGTTCGCATTCAGGTCCCTGGACAACAAGATGGAAATCATCGAAATTTGCCTGTCCTCTTCATCCGCCGACCTGCCAGCCACCCACACTGACCCCGTGTGCGCATTGTCGCACAGGCCAGGGACCTCACGCTTGATTATCTGCGCTGCAAAATTCAGAAAAGGTGGCTTGTCAACAGCCGGTTCACAACACCAAATGGGCCGCAGGCGCTGCACTCCAAGTCACTTATGTCCCGGAGCCCGTTACATACCCTACCGTGAGAAACCTCACAAAAGTGGTTGGCATTTTGGCTTTTGCGGGAACAGCGGGATTCTGGGCTGAGAAAGCCGCTGGGGTCCATCTCCCAGCTGGAGCCGATGGGGCGTCTTGTGTACTGGACAGCAAGATCAAGGGCAGTTCTGAAGTAACAGAAAAGTTGGTCCACCGGCACGAGCCGCCCTGCATCGGCTTCCGCTTCACTGGGCACGGTATTGCGCTTACATGCCGTGTTCCCTGGTTCATTGAATGGGCACTGTGCACTTGCGAAGCCCAGTGAGAGGTATTAATGCAACGTCCATGTTGAATGCAATGTCCATGCAATGTTCTTGATGCGAATAATGTATGGTCCACTTATTAACGTAATGCACATATTGCGTGTAATGTAAAGTTCTCCTGTAAGCCCGCAGCACGCCGTTTTCTGCCGCCGCGGATGGCAGTGAGAAGCAACAGGCAATTGCCTTGTTCTGTAAAAAATCATGATGATGAGAAGCAACGTGGGTCTGATGTTGCCCCGGGCATCCAGGGCATCTACCCGCAACGGGCGCAACCTCCGACACTAACTAAAATGTCGCATTCCCCCGCCCCGCGCGGCGCTCCGTCAGCCTATCCGTGGACGGCCGCGGGGCTGCGAGGGTCGACACAAGCCCCGTCGCGCCACGCAAGGGCGCTGCGGGCCTCCGAGGCCTTTGGCTTCGAAGCCAAGGGGCCCCCACAGCGCACTCACACAGCGTGCAGGCCTTTCCGATGGCGTTGCCCAGGGCGCGCACCACCACCGCCTTGGCCTCCTTCTCCTGCGGAGTTGGCGGAGTTGGTCAGCTGACGCTGCATAATGGGCCAGGGCATTTGCCCTGCAGCGCTGGCGCCCTTGGGCCCCAGCGGATCGGAGCAGGCTCCGGCCGCAACCCACCTGGAGCTGGACGCTGGCGAACTTGGCGTAGCCGCGCAGGTGCCCCTGCGCCGTCACTCGAATCTGCAAGATGGTGCCACGGCCGCGTCAGCGCCATCATATCCGGGCGCTGCCAACCCAAAGCGGACTCGAATGTTTCCACCGTGCTTGCTACCGCGCAACGCCGCGTGGAGCAAACAGCGATCAATTCTTCTCCCACGAAAGCGGCGGAGACATGAAAAGCCCCCGCGCTCGTGCCCCCCGCAGGACGACTTGGCACAATGACTAACATTCCCGGGATGCGAGAGGGAGCCATCCAGCCGCCGGCGATCCAAAGGCGGGGAGACCGATTGGGCGCCGCACCTCGGTGCCCATACCAGCGAAGGGTGCGTCGTTGCCGGCCCCCTCCCTGGCGTTGTCCTCCCCACTGCTGGGCTCCGAGGCCGCCGCGCCACCTGACGTCCCTCCGTCCGTGCGCCCCATCCTCCCGTTCGCGGCGGGCTGGGCCCCCGCCGGCGCACCCGGCATCCTGACGGCAAAGCAAAAAAAAGGAACAATGGGTCTGTCCGAGAGGAAAAGGCCTCTTTTTCAAATCTTGTGCCCGGATCGCTGTGTGGGCGACCGGCACAGGAGTGGGCCCGCCACGGTCGCGACGTCCGGGAGAGCTCGTTTGGTGCGCGCGAAAAGATGCGGCGGCTCTTGATTCATCGATGTCGGCCAAAAAGATCGATCCTTGGGACGTGGAGAGGATGGCCCTGGCGAGCTCCCCGGCCAAAACCAAAATTGCGGTGTCGACATGCCGGGTGGGAGATTTGGCCGAGTCGGCGCTTGGGGGAGACAGCACGCACCTGGTCATCCGGTCGAACGGGGCAGATCGGGCGTGCAAGGCCGTGAGCGTGAAGGCGGGCGAGGCGCCGGCGTGCTGCGGCGACGCTGCCGGCGGCGATCGGCAGGCAGGGGCCCGTGCGAGGCCGCGGGGACAGAAATTTGGCACGTCGCGTTCAAACAGCGCTCGAAGGAGGGGGGTGGGGGGTGGGGCTCACCTTTTTGATTGGGGCCCTCGGCAAATGACCCAGCGGGGGGCTTTTGTTCGAAGTGCGAATGACGTTCCGCAGCTGCCATGACGATCGAATTGGTTTCGAATGCCAGTGCCCGACTGGCTGTTCACCTTGTCCTACAGGGCGGAGAGGTAAGATCCAGTCCATGTGCTGAGGGGAAAAGTCGGGTCAAACTCAAGCCACAGCCGCAAGAAAGTGACCTAGATCCAAAATTGTAGGGTTAAACCTTGCACTAATATTTAGGTTTAAACTTAGAACCCTCGGAACGCTAAGCCCCAAACTCTCAAACCCGAAAACTTTCCGGCTGGACCAGGGCATGCAACTACAGGGGCTCATTCGGTTTCGACAGTGGTTTGCCTGCACTGGGCGTATACTGTTTTCTTTTTGCCTTACGATTTCGGCAAGGCCGTGTCTTTTCCTCATCCTACTAACTTATGAACAAGCTCCTTTTTGTTCTCACGAGTCAGACGATATTTGACCTGCACTTTGAAACCTCATTGTTCGGTCGCCAGTGCATAAGAACAATCCAATATAGCGATTGGCAGTCAATTTTTCTACCTACTATCATTAATGGCGCCCCGTGGCGCCCGTGGCACCGTGGCGTCCGTGAGGCTCAGAATGTGTTCTAGAATTCAGTGGATGGAACATGGCAGACAGGGGTGTAACATTGAGGATCAGATCATCAACAGCAAGGGACATTGAACATCATCAATGGCCATCCAGGCCATTGCCAGAGCAGCACAATGTGCAGGCATCTGTGGGCATGCACTAAATCAGTGCGTTGAACTCAGACTTTGTGGCGTGGTTTTCGGTTCGATGCGGGCGATGGCACCCGCCGAGATGCCCAATGAGGCCGCGGGGCCTCCTCCGCCGGATTGCCGGCGGGCTTTCCGGGGTGCTCGTGTCTTCGGGTACGCAGCGTGGGCCCAGGCCGCAGGGATGGCCGGGCGCGGGGCGGCTGTGCGCGCGGTGGGTGCGCGGCGCCGTGCGGCTCGCGGGTGCAGCCGCTGGGAGGCGCGAGACAGGGGAAACAACGGTTACAGTACTGCGTCAAGTGGTCACCCTTTTGGGGCGGTGTAGAATCCCCCAGGACAATGGCGACCAAATAGGACAGATGGCGGAGCTTCGGTCAATGTATTACAATGGTGGTGGGCCCCCTGGTCCAGACAAGGTCGAGTGCACCGGCGAACTAAGACAAATGGCCTATGGGGTGCCCACTTTTATAGGTGGCGTGCTCCCCCTCTCGTCATGGCACCCTCGGCCTCCTGTAATGTCCAATACACTCATGTCATGCCACCCTCGGCCTCCTGTAAGGTCACCTCGGCCCTTGGAGAGCCACTCACATGGCCCCTTGGCCCCTTGGCGTGCCTCTAGTAATGCCAGGCGGCTTCCCCAAGCTATACCACGTCCCTCCAATGTACCATGGCCGTAGGGGTGCTTGTACCTGTGATCCAATGTAATGCGGGTACCTGACAGGTGCCCGTACTGCCGGATCAACCCCATAATCCCTTGGAATGTACTCCACCACTTCCTGGCGGCTCCCTTCCGCCCATGACCGCGCACTACATCATAATAGGCTATAATGTTCATCATCACACCGGTTCCATCAAGGAATAATGCCTCAAATGGTCAGAAATGGGCTAAATGGCCTAAATTGTCTTAATTACCTCATTATACCGAAAATTGGCCCATTTAACAAGATGAACGTGGCGATCATGATTAACACAATTCTAGACTCAGATGAACACATCTAACTCATCTAAGTCATCCAATTACCCGTCAATGTACTGTACGGTGTCCAGTCACTACAATCTCCCCCCCTTAAACTAAGCATTGTCCTCAATGCGGCCGTAGTACTCCTGCATCTTCTCTTGCGCGTTTTGGAGGTTGTCTTCAGGCTCCCAAGTCGCTTCATGGGCAGGGTAGCCTTCCCAAAAGACGAGGTACTCCTTGACGGTTCGACGTCCGCGCTTTCGCAGTCGATGGTTGACGATTTCCTCGACGAAGTACTCCTCATGGCCGTCCGTAGAGATGATTGCCTCAGGAGGTTGGGAACATCGTCTGGCGTCCTTTGGCGCTCGGTACAACTTCAGTTGAGAAACATGGAAGACAGGATGCACTCGGATGTGCGCCGGCAGCTCCAGCTTGTAGGCTGTCGTGTAGCACTCCGCCACCTTGAACGGTCCAATGTACAACGGTCCAAACTTGTGGCTTGGTCCAGCTCCAGCGATGTTGAGGTACTTGGTAGATAGAAGAACTTCATCACCAACACGCAACTCCAAAGGTCTTCGCTTCTTGTCCGCGTATCGCTTCTGTCGCTCTTGAGCCTTCGTCAAGTTGTCACGTGCTTGCAGTAGATCCTTGGATAAAGTCTCCATCCAATCCTCAGCTGTGACGTTCTTCGTCTCCGCTCCAGCCAACAAGTTTGCAGGATTCACTGGATGTCGCCCGTAGCAAAGGTAGAAAGGCGTAAATCCAGTTGAAGAATGCACGGCGTTGTTGTAGACGAACTCCACCATGCTCAACCGTTGATCCCAGTCGTTGTGTCGTCTTCCCACGAACGCTCTCATGATCTCCTCAATTGTTCGGTTGGCCCTCTCCGTTTGGCCATCAGTTCGAGGATGAAATCCCGATGACATCGCCAATGTAGCTCCCATATTCTTGAACACTTCTTTCCAAAAATGGCTCGTGAACTTGCTATCACGATCCGACACAATGGTCCTCGGCAAACCATGGACTCGCACAACGGAATCCACAAAAATCTTAGCCACATCCACAGCAGTAGCTGTCCCTTTTGTTGGTCTCAGCACCACCATCTTGGTGCCATAATCCACCATAACCAACAAAGCATCATAACCTGATCGGGTCTTTGGCAAATGAGTGATCAAATCCATGCTCACTTTCTCCCAACGATTGTGAGGTATTTCCAGCGGTTGCAACAACCCAGCACTTCTTTGATTCGAAGGTTTGTTGCACTGACATGCATCACAACTCCTCACAAACTCCGTCATATCACTCTCCAAAGAAGGCCAATAGAAATCCCGTTTCACCAGGTCAGATGTTCTCTTGATGCCCAAATGACCCGAACAATGTGCATCATGCAATTCAGTCATCACTGCACTTCTCAAGGTCCCACTTGGCACATACAATCGCAATCGCTCATCATCAACCCAATAGATGCGCTGATTCAGCACCTTGAAATTTGGGTGGCGATCTGGATGTTCGAAAATTGCTTTGCTCTCTTCATCGCGAGCATACTCTTCCTCCAACTTCCGCAGCAATTTCGAATCCAATTCTACTTCAGAAATCGACAAGCATTCAATCATGTAAAGCCTAGATAAGGCATCAGCAACCACATTCGACTTTCCTGGCTTATGAATCACCTCATAGTCGAACTCAGCCAAAAAGTCCAACCATCTTGCTTGTCGCTTTGACAGGTTCGGTTGCGTCATGAGGTACTTCAAGGAGTAGTGGTCGGTGATGACCTTGAACTTCTTGCCTTCTAGGTAGTGTCTCCAAGTCCTCAACACATGAATCACAGCCAAGAGTTCCCGCTCATGAGTAGGGTAGTTGGCCTCTGCTGAATTCATCTTCCGGCTCTCGAATGCCACAGGATAATCACCGGAGTCATAAACTTGACTCAACACAGCTCCCACAGCCGTGTCACTCCCATCACAGGTCACAACGTAATCTCGGTCAGGATCAGCAGTCTTCAATACAGGTGCCTCGGTCAGCCTGGTCTTCAATTCCTTGAAGGCTGCATCCTCACTTGAAGTCCATTTATAGGGAGTCTTCTTCCTTGTCAAGTTTGTCAAAGGCGTTGCAATCTTTGCGAAGTCTTGGATGAATCTTCTGTAGTATCCAGCCAAACCAAGGAAACTTCGCAGCTCCTTCAAGTTCTCTGGCTGCTTCCACTCCTTGATGGCCTTGATCTTCGCAGGATCTGGCTTCACTCCATCGATGCCAACAATATGACCCAAATATTCGACTTCTTGCTGGAAGAACGAACACTTGGTCATCTTTGCGTAGAGCTTGTGTTCTCTCAAAATTTCCAATGCCTTCCTGACATGCACCTTATGCTCCTCCAACGATCGGCTATACACCAAGATGTCATCCAAGAAGATGATGACAAATGTGTCGAGATGCTCCCTGAAGATGCTATGCATCAAATGCATGAACGTAGCTGGAGCATTTGTCAAGCCAAAAGGTAGCACAAGAAATTCGAAGTGCCCATATCTTGTTCGGAAGGCTGTCTTTGGCACGTCTTCTGGATGAACACGGATCTGGTGGTAGCCACTCCTCAAGTCAATCTTCGTGAAGAAATTTGCCTCACCCAAGCGGTCGAGAAGTTCTTCAATGCGAGGCAATGGGTAGCGGTTCCGAATTGTTGCCTTGTTCAAGGCCCTGTAGTCCACACACATTCGGACACTACCGTCCTTCTTTGGAACAAAGAGGACGGGCGCTCCAAAA